TAAGTAACTCCCCTTAATTTAAATACACTCCAACTGCTTTACAAGAGCCATAAAGCTGTCATTAAGCTGTCATGCTTGTATAAGAGAAACTGCCATTAATTAATTACTACAAGCATAGTGTTCTGTTTTTGAAAACTTCGCGACATCTATTAAGATGCATTTTTGGACTGCTTATACATATGCCTCAATGTATATTATATTACTAGTTAGCACACTTACTAACACTATTAAGAAATAAAAGATCCACCTAGGATTATTTCAGATTGTGAAACAAAAATGGCACAAAGCTAGCATATCTTCTAATTAGTTAAATTATATTAGTTTCTTATTTATTCAATACTAGTTTAATTTAAATTGATTTAAGCCAGCTAGTGGCTATATTAAACTTTGCTTAAAATCCACTTTCTGTGCCAAATAATTGTATAATTTTACGCCTACAGAGTGGCAAAGTTTAATTTAAGGAATCGGTTAAATGTGAGCTAAGAAAGTCAATTATTATAAGTTCACTAGTTGCTTTCCCCAAACCCTATTAGGAATTGGAAATTTCAAATGATGCTCTTAAATGGAATTGTTTTCTTTTTTTATTATCTTCTATATTTTATATTTGTAGTTAGTTTAAAATGCCGTTGTCTGAGAAAAGAGGTCGCACAGTTTGCAAAATACATACTTGTGTTTATGGAAATAAAACAATACTTTAATTTGTTTAAAAAATATAAATATTGAAAGAATATTCAATATTGTACTTAATAATATGGCAAATAAATGCCAGCATGATAAATAAAACTGAAGGTTAACACATATGAATAGATGGAAAACATTTTACTTTTTTCAATCAGATCCCAGAAATGTTATAAATATTCTTACATTTTCGAGATATTTACATTTATTTTACTTCTTCCAGGACTATTAATCAAATGAAAATGAATAATAGTTATAGTTATGCATTATTTTCAATAATTGTCTGTTAAGTGAAGAATTCTTCAAATTTGTTGTTTTTGAAAATATATTAACAGTAGAGTTTCCGATAAGGATTTTTTTATTGCAAACTTAAGATTTTAAAATGCTGTATTTTGTGTGCCTTTCTCTCAGTGTAAGCATATTTATGTACCTAGACACATACTATGTGGGTGCATATTTAGGTTTGTCTCTACGGCCTGTAAGTGGCTGCCATTCAAAAAGTGTATGCAAAAATTTGAGTTAACAATTGACACTCAAGCCGGCACTGACATCAGTATCTGTATCTTTAGCAGTATCTATAGCTGTGTAGTGCCGGTACAGTTTAAGATAAACTGATACGAGCAAATACAAGCAAACACAAGCAACAACAACATTTTCAATTGCATCTGGCAGCTTGATTTGCACAGATTTGTTTCGGGAAATTAAATAAGAACTCGCTGCTCGTTCCGTAAAACGTAAAATTCTACGCAATTCGAAACAGGCCTGATATGTACATATAAGTACATATATGTGTACATAGATACTCGAATGTTCATATAAACTCATAAATTTGTGATAACTGGCAAACAAAATTAAATCAATGCACCCACAGCTGAATCGAAAAGAATGCAAATGCCAGCATGATGCTAATATGAGAGTTCAAACGCACAAACATACTCATACATATATACATACATACATACATACATACATACATACATACATTGTGAACATTTCATATACTATATGGATATGGTTAAATGCGGATAATGACAATGTCTTATCAATCACAAAAGGCTTACTGTTCGGCTGCGGCTGATAGAATACAAAACAGCAAAAGAATGACTTCAGATAATGCTAAACATGCAACAAACGACGCACTGCCAGCAACAACCGCAACAACAACAACAATAGCAGCTGCAGTTGCAACAACAGCCGCGCTGCATTTAAACGGAAATCGTTGCTTTTGTGAATAAAAACCAAAGCCCACTATACATTCGAGGCGCAATAATCCATGCACTCATAAAAAGGGTTATTAATTCGATTTGACCAGAAGCATGCTATTATTTATTGAAAGCATATTCATTTTATGCCAATTCGATTAATATCCTAACTGAAGATATCGATTTCATCATAAAAATGCAATGACATTGATTTAAACTTTTGATTTTGAATGCCAGCACTACTCTAGTATTTCAAACCACGGCCCATTGATAAGATATCAGATTGCCGAGGGGTTTAAGGATAAGTTCGAAAATTCAAGTACATATGAAGTTGAAACTGAAAACCTTAGTATAAGTGAAGTAAAACCTAGGTCCAGTGTACATTCGAAAAAGAAGAATCGTTAGACCATGAAAAATATTCTTTACTATTAAGAAGATTCATTTTGTTATGAAAGTTTTTGATTAAATGATATATAAAATTATAATTATAATTATAAAATAATCTATTAATTAATATTTTTATAACAATTATTACTTTATGAACTAATTGAGGACAATAAGTAAGACAATATACTAATAATTCACCTGAAAGGGAAGGTACCAGTATACTTAAGAACTCTTTAATTTTTGTCTATTTATGATGGATGGCTAACAAATACGTTTGATGTTTTGGGGAGCTTTTCATTTTCAGTTAAATCGAAAACACAAAACCGACAAAAATTAAACGTCTAGATGCAATATTTTACAATATTTGAAAGATTGAAATATTTTAAAAAATGTTTAACATTTTCCATAATTCCTCAATATTTTATATTTTTTAATTATTTAGCAATTTTTTAGAAAATATTCTTTGGTTTTTTTCCAATATTTGATCAGTATCTTCTAATATTTTGAAATATTTTTAAAAATCTCTCAATTATTTTGAAATATCTTATATTTTCAAAATTATTTCAATATTTTTCGTAATTATGAAAATATTTTGCAATATTTTTTTAAAATTTTGTAAAATAAATGAATATTTCGAAATATTTTGGTATATTTTTTATTTCTTGCAATAATTTTTCAATTTTTGGAAATTATTATTTGAAAATATGTTGTAATATTATTATCTTTTCCAATGCAGTACGAATTTTTGTAATATTAAAAAAAATTGTTAATTATATTGTAATAGTTTCTAACATAGGGAAATGTAACTGTAGTGTATTTTTGTATTCCGCTAGTGTTCTACAAACATGGTAACATTTACAAATTATGATTTGTACAAGTATTCAATCGAGTTCGGAAACGGGAAGCCCAAAAACTCATTCATTTATCAGATATGAGAACATTGACTTATTCTGATTCCGCATCATTTAATTGAGTTCGGAGTTTGGCTTCCCAAAAGTTTAAACAAAATCTATAAACTAAACATTTTGTGCCTGCTAATCCACTCGCACTCTACTTTAATTAAATATAAATGAAAATCGTTGCGAATATTCCCAACAGCGCTAGATTTATTTTCATTGATTCGGATTGTGGGATTCCGGTAAATGAAGCAATCATTTGTTTCAACGGCAGGTGAAAAGCACTTTCCGTTATACATAATTGATTTATCAGATAGATAATTGTATCAGCATGTAATTGCACATTAATTCTCGTTCACATTCCATCGTTCATTACATACCAATTCCAATGGCAAGGTATTGAGATTATTATCTGAAATACATTTATTTTCCAAACACGCTGATTTATACATAGTACATCAGAAAATAAAACATGTGCGCTGCTTTCAATTGTTAATTGAAAACCTATTGGGATATGCAGGAAAATATTCAAATATTGAATTTTCCAATTGGAAATAGAAGCATCTTCAATATTTTTACTGAAATATTTAATTCAAAGAAAAAATCCGAAAAAAAATTTCAAAAGTGTGGCCCTTTTAGTTGTCTTTCAGATACACTCAACAACAAATTTGAGAGTAAAACTGAATATTTTCATATTGAATTTAATGTCGGTTTTCAGCGGTTGTGTGGTATATATAAAAAGTTTAGCCTCTTGCCATATATACTTGTACTTGTATATGGTCGTTAAGTATGCGTCAAGTGGCCTCAATCAACAATTCCACAAAACGTCAATGTTATTTCGGATATTAGGAAATTGGAAATTACTTTTAAATAAAAATATTCTCTACAAATAAATTTTTATAAATAATATGCAAAACAATTAAATACAATTAATAGAGTATAGAAGAGAGTTTGTTTACTTGTTTACTTATAAAAAGGAACCTTTGGCGTGAATCAAATTGTGATTAAATACTCGCATGCTTTAAATTTAATATTTTAATAAGTATTAACCTCGAAATTAAGGTGTGCACACTTATTTATTAAAACGCACTGTGGTGAAAAACCAATGCAAAACATTTAAATCTACTAGTATTCAAATATAAGTTGGTTTTTTGATGAGTCTTTGTTCTGCAGACTCATTACTCATGGACCCGAACAAGTGTTTAATGTGCAGCATTTTTTGGCTCGTGGCATTTTGGTTATTTATTTATATTTATTGGCAGCGATGGCGGTGGCGGCGTCAGTTGAAATAAAAATATTAAAAAATTGGTACATGTGTACGGGTATTATGAAAAAAAAAAAATAATAATAACAGAAACATTTTGTTTAAAGAGGTGTGTGACTAGACTTGGTCTTGGACTTGTTGCTTGCACTCGTCATTGTTAGTGTTCTTACTAATATTGTTACTCTTGGTTTTTAGTCTTGTTGTTGTTGTTGTTGTTGCTGGCCGCCACCACAGAAACCGCCAACGAGCGCCAGACGAGCGGTAGTGCTGTCCGTCTATTTTGGTGGCGTCTCTGTGGCAACTGCGGCCAGATTTGCGTTCAGGTGGGCGAACGCGTCTTGAATGCCGGCTGACAAAACATATAGACCAGCATATATACACACACACACACATAGTGTTTATATATGTATGTATTGCATACATACATACATATGTACATATATTCGCACACGCACTCGCTGGCGCAACTTTTTGTTTGACAAAAAATATACAAGCATGTATGTATTTAAATATGTATATATTCATATGGATATATACAAATATAAAAGAAAAAATATATTACTGCCTTGTCACCTTTTTAACACTGGATGGAGAGCGCGAACAACGAATACGTTTTAGCCGGAAAACGCGCGCGTTTTTCAAATATTTCAGAAAACGTTTGCTTTTTCAACTGAATTCCTTTTTATTTTCCACATACATACATTAGTGTGCGTATGTGTATTTTATAATAAGACGTATGTATGTATATACATACATACACACGGAGACCACGACAATGTATTTAAGGTGTAATTTGTTTTTTTTTTTTTAATAATTTTTTTTCGGTCGCGTGTCTCGTCGATGCGCTGGTTGTTGGTCAACTGAATTAAGAACGGGACGCGCTATGGCAGCAGCGACGTCGCGACGTCAGCAGCGACAGCATCGGCAACGCCAACGCCAACGTCGTAATGGCGACGACAACGACGACGACTGGCACTCGTCTAGCCGAAGTGCGCGTACAGACGCGACGATGATTACAACTACAACGACAGTGATGACGACGACGACGACATCGACAATCGACGCCGGCACCAACGCAGTGTTAGCGTCATTGATATTGTTGTTCTTGTTGTTGCTGCTGCTGCTGCTGCTGCTACTGCTGCTACTGCATCGCAAATTGCTGTTGCTCTTGTATGTTGTTGTTCTTGTTGCTGTATTTGGCGTGCGGAAATCAGAAAATTTAGGCGCAACGCCATTCACCCCCTTCCCAAAAAAAAAAAGTCTCGGCAAACAGATAGCATTTCCACACCATCCTCCTATGTATGTATATTCCCAGCCACCCACCAAACACCAAACCCCCTTGCCGCTGCCTTTGTCCAGCTGTCAGCACAACACGCAGCAACACACACAACCATTAAAAGCAATTTGTTGACACTGACCCACAAAAATAGATACACAATGCGAACTGAAGTGACCGACAACAAACGGTGAAGCTAAAGAACAAAAGAACATCGAAACATCCAGACATCAGCCGAAACAATTCACCCCGAATTCCTCCCAACCACTCCCCCAAACCCCCACGCATTTTTATTCACGCAGCGTACGCCTTAAATCTGCGACAAATGCTGCCGTGTTCCCCAAGGGCCGGGCCCATGACATCATTGCAACAAGTCGAAGGAAGGTAAGCGGCTGGGCTGCTGTTATGTATTCGTATGTATGTACGTTTGTTCGCCACACTTTAGAGACACCCACTACCCACTGACCCCATTCTGGCCAACGTGTTGCTTCATTAACCGCTCAATCGCATCCATACCGAATGCTTTTGAACAAAAGGTGTTGAGTTTGTTGTACGCGGCGTATACGTGATATTTTTATCTGTTAGCCCAACCAAATTTCGTTTGTAATTATTGCCGAAATATTTAGAGAAAGCGAACTAGAGCTTTCGATATTCTCAATAGTTCATCCTTTAATTATGGACACTTCCTATAGCTTCAACTAGTTTTTGTACCATATCTTATTCAGGCGTTTGACATAAAAACTAATTTAAAACAAATTAAAAAAAAAATTGAAGTGGAGAAATGGCTGGAATAAGGAGTCCGTGTACCATAGAATAGAATAGAATAGATTTCTATTTGAGCTAAAGGAAATCGATGATTAATATTACCATCCGAGAATCGCATAAAAGGCCTTCATATACTGATGGCTTCTAATGATGAACTCATCGCGTAAAACCCCTCATCTTACATGTACGCATATGTATCATTCATTTTTATAAATATGCCTACAATAATACGCCCTTTGCACCCCTCGGATCAGGGTATAATAAAAACAAATTAAAAAGTTATCTTCCTCTATATACTTAGCTTAGCATTTCCGTACTGTCTTATCTTTTTCTATTATGTCCTTTGTGGCCAGCATCCATCAAATATAACTATCTTTAGAAATAAACTAGTCTTTGATATGAATTTACAGAACTTTACGATTTTGATTCGACTCGTCATGCTGGTCTACCATTCTTCCACCCAAAAACAAAATACCCTTACACTTTTCAGTGAAGGGTACACATACATATTACATGCAAGTATAACAATAAACCTACCCTGACTTTTTCCCCATCATAACCTCTCCCACGCACACTTTTCAAAATGTTCTTCATTTTATGACACTTTGCTGAAGCTAAGCTGCATGGGCTTTTCATACAAGAAGATTCGCAATACTGAAAAGATGATAAGCGCATGCAAAGATTCCGGCACATCAGAGTGCTTCCGGTACAAATAGCGTTCTACTGATTACATATTTCCGTTGCCAACACAAATAGAAACATAACTAGAACGAAAGAAACATACATGCCTACACCTTCTCCGCATATGTTACAACAGTTTCCCAAGAATAAATGTATCTAATACCCATAAGAACATATTTTATGTCAATTGGTGAAGAAGAAGATTTAGAAAAGGGATCGTTTAGTGTAAAGGTCTGTTGATTTCAATAAACTGAAGATTCACGCAAATCATTAATATGTTTAAACGTTTTAGTTTAAATAAATAGATACAAAATGGCTGTAGAAGGAAATACATTTTTATAAGGAAAAGGAAAGGAGACGTTTAGATCCCACTCAGTATGTACTTATATAAATATAATTTTGATCAGTTTGATAAGTTTGATAACAAAACCATATAACTTATTTGTTGGAGTGGGTACAGAAGTACACTGGAAGTTCGGTCCAAGCTCGGCTCTAGCATTCATGCCGTTCGTGTTTTTATAAACAGTTCGAACTACTTTGTAACTTGTACTTTCTATAATAATGGGCATTTTTATGGACTTATTGTGAAGTGGAAATCAAGGTCGACAGAAGTCTGGCACGTCAAGCTGATAAGATATGTTGCTGCTGCCGCCGTTGCATTCCGTGTAAGCAACAGCGACTGCAACAACAACTGAAACAACAGCCACACATGCAATTTAACAACAACAACAATAACTGCAACAGTAACAACACATATGGAACGAAAAAAAATTGAAATGTGTGTCAACAAATTGCACAAATTATTGCCAGCATCAGATTTATGCGCGTGTATTCAACAGTTTCCATTGCATTTGTACTTGAAAAATGGCGGCATGGCGCTGCGTCAGTGTCGCTGTCGGTGCTAGCGTTAGCGTCGCCGTCGACGTCTGGCGTGCTAAGCAGGCAGCAACCGCTGCTCTTGTCAAATCAATTACAGTGATTTGCGCATCGAGGATGACACAGAGAGAGTTAGAGAGGGAGAGAGAGCAGCTCCACCTGCACGAATATGTAAATGCAAAAGGGCGCCAAACTGAGCGCAAATGTGTGCATGCATGCATGTATGAACACATGTATGTGTGTGTGTGCGTGTGCCCAAATCGTGACCTTCCAATCGGAACGAAGCCAATGAAGACGCCACTAAGCACTCGATGATCGTTTACCTTTTTTGTAACACAAATGCTCTCAACATAGATCATTGTCAGTAAAGCAATTAATTCGAATGAATGCTTCGCTGTTGTTGCTATTGTTACTGTTATTGTTGTGGGCGTAGGTGTGAGTGTTCTTCACATTTGCATTTTGTGTTATCTTCGTCTCGGTGTGTGTGTGTGTGTATTTTGATGAACTGAGCCGAACAGCAGTTGAGCTACTAAAATAAAAATTAAGGCGTTTTTTTATGAAACTCGAAACGCTTTGTGTGAATTAAATTAAAATAAATGGTCAAATTAGTCATGAAAGTGACGAATTTCCATATAAATCAAATATAGTGACACCAAATATTTTCCAAGTCACATCAATCTCTCAATCTTGTTACTTTCAACAACTTTCAATACTGTTAGTTGAATCCAAACCTTTTGTGTAGGTTTTTTATGCATTTCGCGCATATGTATGTATGTATGTATCATCTTGTGGGTGTGATTTCAAATCAAACATATACATACATAGATAAAGGCTATATTCTAAATTACAATTCAGTTGAAAAAATACAAAAAATATAAAAAATAACGGGTTTCCGTCTTAGAATTCAAAACATATTTTTGGAATTTAACTTTTGAATTATTTACATTTATCTTTGTGTTTTCGATTTATAAAATAAGCATCGTTTTTTTCTAATTTAATGACTATTAATGACTTTAGTTAATTTTAGGCAATGCAACGATAGAGCTGCAGTTTCAGAATTACAATTCCCAAACAAATCCTCCATCTGATTTTGTTACATTCGCGAATGGAAATTAAAAATTGTGGAGCCCGGAACAGACTGGATATTATTTTAATTTCTTCTGAAAAAATATTCTTTTATTTGTTCGAACAGCTCTCGAAAATGATTCTTATAAGTATTTTATGTCTTTCGTACCTCTTTTTGATTTCATTTGGATTCAAAATTAAATTTAATGGGGCATACGAATGAGCCAACGAAAGTTGTTTCTTGCCGTGCAGAGATCGTATTTTCCTATGGGAAATTAATGTTCGTATTCGTCATTCGCATCTGACTTTATATATAAGAATGGTCGAGTTCATTTTTCAAACGAACCGAAATAGCCACAGGTAAGTAAAGCAAATATTTATAGCCGAGTCGGAATTTTAAAACAAACAATGGCAGGCACTGAAAAAAACAAGTAAAAAAACTAAGGTCGGGTGTCCCGACTTTGAAATACTCTGTACATATGTTTACAATAATTATAGAAAATAAAAAAAATAAAGAAAATTAAAAAAAAAATTACGGACACATAATAACTAACTGGGGGTATTTGCAAAATTTTAGTTCGAAATTCAGAATTACGGAAGTTACAATTTACGGGGGAGAGGGGGAAGGGAGGGAAATTCCAAAATATACATTTTCTGCGTATTCACATAAGGCATCTTGATGTTCCTAGGTCTTATAGTCTCCGAGATATAGGCGATTATACGAATGGAAAATCGGGAAAAACCCCATAGGGGGGAAGTGGTTGGCAAAATCAAAAAAATAAAACAAACTCGTATAGCGTACATACTTAAGGCATCTTTGTGCAAAATTTGGTGTCTCTATGTCTTATAGTCTCTGAGATCTAGGTGTTCATGCGGACGGACAGACAGACAGACAGGGCTAGATCGACTCGTCTCGTCATGCTGATCAAGAATATATATACTTTGTGGGATCTGCCACGCCCCCTTCTGCCTGTTAGATTTTTCAGCTCCCGCAAACCTAACATACTTCTGTACATTTTATGTACAGAGTATAAAAATACAATTCTGGATTTTATGCAAGACATATGTACATGTACTATAGGAGG